GAAGCTGCAAATTTATGAAATCTGGTGCAAATTTAAAAGACAACACTTAAATTTTAAGTGATTATTTGTACAGAGCGCTTAAAATATAGGTCGAATGTATTAAAAAATCCGTGAACATTAAACAGCGCTTTAAACAAAAAAGCGCTGCCTATATTTGGGAATATAAAGCGCTTTTAAAGGAGGCACTACCTAATGGGGTGCATACAAAAGCGCTTGTGACATACAAAGCGCTGCCTAAAAGGGACTTTAGAAAGCGCTTTTAAAGGAAGGGGTGCATACAAAAGCGCTTGTGACATACAAAGCGTATTGCAACTGGGTTTTTAATCAGAGAGTCGCCACCCTTAATTTTTATCCTAAAGGAAATGAATATAAATGAATAACCCTAAAAGAAATTCAGAGATTCTAGGTTTAGACTCAGTTCTAGACGAGGGGAAGGTGTTAGGCACCCCTTATCTACGTTGTTCACAAGGATACTAGGTTTAGAAGCGCATTTTTAGGAAATAGGGTTTTTAATTATTATTGGGAAAAAGGTTTGAATTTTAGTTAGCGGGACTCGCCACAATTTTTTATCGCATGCATACGTATCCTTCTAAGGAGGAATCAGAGTCCAATTTCGTAGCTCGAGGGGATAGGTTGGTGTTTTTTATGGATTACGCGAATATTTTAGTTTTCCCCGCACTTAGTTCGAATGTGTGGATAACGAAGATTTTGAACTAAGCGCGAAGTTATTTTAAAAACTCTTTGTATTCTTTTTTTTTGAAAACTAATTGTTTGATTTAATTTATTATGAAAACTAATTTGATGTTTGTTTATGTATTTTTTTATGCGTATATAATCAAAGAGTCTGATATAACTCTCTTATCACGTGGCCAGATATTGGTCACATATCGCTTGCGGATATGGTTTGATAAATTGCGCAGGTTTTAATATTTTGATATAAAATATTAAATTAAAATATATGGTAATGAATATTTTTAAGTACATAATTAATAGATATGATTTAATGCAAATAAATAATATATTTTAAATGAGTTTTAAAATACTAAATCATTTATAACAATAAATAATACATAATATTATAATTATTAAAGTATAAATATAAATATAAATGTAAATATATGTAAATATATATAAATGCAGAAAAATAAATAAACAAATAAATATATACAATGAATTTATAAGAGAAAATAATAAATTAAAATAAGTTAGCAAGGAGGGTGCAAATTATATTATAGAAGTAAAGTTGAGGGGTGTCAATGGGAAGGCAGGCCTGGATCGAAAAGGGGGCTACGTTGCCTTTCGATCCATCGAAGGAAACCTTCGAAGCTTAATGGTAAGGCAAACGATCAGAAGCCTTCAGATTTGGATCAGATGGAGATTTATTGATTACGATCCTCTGGTGTATGGTGTATGTGTGGAGCCGAAAAGCATTGGATCTGCAATACAAATGTTAGAAAAATAAAGTTTCAGACCTGGGTATCAAACCCAGGTCCTTCCCCGTTTGCACACTTCCTTTTTACCTTCTGCGCTACGGCTGGTATGCTTTGATCTGCAACTTTGGGATGTTTTAAGCGTCGAGGAGAGCTGATATTCGTTTGGACTGGGGGAGCCTGCAAAGTGTGTTTCGAATGCTGACCCCTTCGTGAGATTTTTAGAATCCGATCTGCTTTCTGAGGCAGCTTCATGTGTGTGGAACTTTGGTAGCCAATCTCCTGTGTATAGGCAGTGTGCGTGTGTTCCTAATGCGTGTGTCTGCAATGTGTGTAGGCAATGTTTTTATTCGTCCCTCCTAGCTTGCACTTTTGTCTCTGTATTTATAGAGGAGTGAGGAAGGTGTGGGTGAACCAATATGGAAGAAGACAATTCATTCATGAGTCATGAAACAAAATCCCAACATATTGAAAACTTACCATTTTTGAGATATTGTGTGTCATTTTGAACTTTGAGTGAACCTGGACAAGTTTCTCATTTTGACTCTTTCGAGTGCCCTCAAGCCTTGTTCTTCGATGACTCTGAGTGGCTCCCTTCGATGGCTTTGGGCTTCCATTCGAATGGTTCAAGGCCTCATCATTGTGTCCTCTTCGATTGAGCCACCATTTGCCTTAATCGCTTGATTCGAAAAACTATCTAGTCAGCCCAATCGAACAACTCTCGTTCCTTTCGATTCTCTTTTCTTTTAATAAGACCAATTGAAGCATCATCTTTTCATCCTAGCCTGTCAAAGCTTCGATTTGACCCTTTCGAATTCCACTTGATTCAAACACCTCTTCATTTTGGCCTGTCGAAGCCGCTTCAGCTCTTTCGATCTATCAACCTTCATCTCGAACAATCGAAGTATCAACTCTTCACTTTGACTGATCAAAGCCGTTTCAGCTCTTCCTCAATCAAAGACTTCATAAAAGCCTCCTCACACATTCGAAGCTCATCAATCGAAGACTCCATAAAAAACCTCCTCATGCGTTCGAAATGCATCAATCGAAGACCCCATAAAAAACCTCCTCAACATTCTTTCGCGCCATTCATCCTTCGATCTTGAATGCTTCGTTAGGCATCCTACTGTCGTCGAAGCTGCTTTGATCCCAAGAGTTCTTATGCATATTTTTAGTTTTTGACATACACTTATTTATTTCTTTCAGCTAATAATACAAGAACAAATAATAAAATTAAAAAAATTAACAAAGGTTTAAAAAAATTTATCAGTAAAATAAATAATTATAACAAAATGATAATAATGTTATATAAAAACTTTTTAAATCAAATGGGCCCAGTTATCTTCAAATATTGGATCACGAAACATGTCTCCCAGGGGCTTTATGAATTTGCAATGCACCCCCCTTTTTTCTCATTTTTGAAATGCTCCTTAGCAAATTACATGGGCCTTTTCTGATTAAGAAAGGTCTATGATCCTTTTTACAAACTAAACCTCTTCTTGATTTTAAATAACCCGCAGAAATAAAACCATATAATGTGACCCATTTTTTTTAAATAAACTTAAACCTGATGTAAGGGTAGGGAAAATTCGTGGTATGACAAAGCGCTACCTAAAAGGAACTTTAGAAAGCGCTTTTAGAGAAAGTGTTACCTAAAACATAAAAAAGTGAACAAAAAAATATATTACACAGCGCTTTTAGAAGCGCTGTCTAAAGTGAAAGTGCTGCTATAGACACACTTTAGAAAGCACTTGTAATGTAAAAAAGCGCTAGCTAAGTGGTATTTTAGAAAGCACTTACTAAATAAAGCGTTGTCTAAAGGCTACATTAAGCAGCACTATCACACAGACAAAAGCGATGTCTTTACTTACAGTAGGGCAGGAATAAGCAGCGTTTTTAAGCGTTATCTATGGCAAAAAAAAACGTTGTTTATTCCCTTATATGGCATAGTGATTGATTACTGTATTATTGATAATGTGTGTTGTTAATTTTAGCCACATGACCCTGTATTTCTATTCATATGGTCCAAAAGCTATAGTACTAATAAGAAATGTCTACTTTCATGGTTCATAAATGCTTTCAATTTTTACTTAGTTGTAGTACCTTTAGCTTTTTATCGTGCTCTTATATTGTTTGAAATATTGTAATTTGAGTGCTTTGGTTTATGAAATTGACATGATATTCTGTACCTTATAGTTTCACATGACGTTTGATATTTTCCACAACTTATGCCACAATTTCTGATTTTCTAATTCGTCTTGCTGTTATATAGCAATAAATGGTCAAATGACTGAAAAATAGACGTGGCATTTTACCTTATATTGAATTCTATAATGCAACTCAAAGAGAATAATGGAATAAATCCTACATTCCTAATGATGAATCAATCGATGCCAAAGTCAGAAAGCAGAACCAAGTCAACCAAGAAATTGGAAATTGGATATTATGACTTCTTAGTACATGAAATATGATATTTATGTATGACTTTTTAGTACATGAAATATTTTGTTGAATATTATGACTTCTTAGTACATGAAATATGAAAAAATGTGATAACTAAAATAGGATATAATGTAGCAAATGAAATAAGGTGTAAATGAAATTAAATATAACATAATTTATTCATTCATAAAGGGTGTAAATTATATTTTAAAATGGTGTAATTACACCGGATTTTTATTAAAAGATAGTGTAAATTAGCATATATTTACACCCAATTTTTATTAAAATAGGGTGTAACTATGAACGTATTTACACCCAATTTTTATAAAAATAGAGTGTAAATAAGGACGTATATACACCTGATTTTCATTAAAATAGGGTGTAAATAAGAACATAAAATATGGTGTAACTAAGTACGTATTTATACTTAATTTTTAATATAAAAAAATAGAGTAACGTAGAACGTATTTACATCTGATTTTTACTAAAAAAGAGTGTAATATAGAACGTATTTACACCCGTTTTTAAACGGGTGTAAATGCGTAAGACATTTCTCACCTGATAAATATATATCTGATTTTTATTAAACTTAAATGAGTGTAAATTTAATAAAAAAACGGGTGTAAATTAAAAATGTGATATGATGTATCTTAATATATGTCTCTCATTAGTTTAGTTCACAGTGTAATAATATTCATTGCATTAATTTCCTCTTTTCTCTTAATCAACAAAGATAAACACAAAAAAAACTTTCTCACAAAAACAAAAAAACAAAAAGTCTAGAAGAAAGTTTAAGGACTGAATTGGCATTTAAATGCTCTCATACAAACAAGAAAACCAAAGAACTTTATTATTACACTTTGACAGAAATAAAATCCACAACCATTCAATCTCCTCGCCATATAAATGTACAAATTTATATGTATAAAAATCTATGAAAGATCAGTGTTCCAAAAAAAAATATCTATGAGATCATCAATTCATATTATGTAACTATATCAAATAAACAACTAAAAGCCCCACACCATATAATCTATATAGTAAACTTTATTGAAAAGTAAGTATAGTATAACACAAAACAAATCAACAAAAAGGCCTTCACAGATCAATACTCACTAGCTAGCTTCATCAGTGCCCAGCACCAGGACTTGGAATATCACCATGTTTTCTATAGAAATCATAATCATCGGGTGGCGGCGGAGATCCATTGCCCTCATCACTGTAATCCATCACACTGACTTCAACATGGCTAGCAATCCCAGTTGAAGTACAAGTGTTCTCCTTGCTTCTTAACCTGCTTGTAGCTGAAATCTCTTGGCACATCAAAAATAGAACAAGAGGTAGCACCATAAACATAAACCTAGGGTTAGATGCTCTTTTTGTCATTTTTATCATATAAGAGAAGTGCATATAATAAGATCAGAGAATAACTATAAAAGTTGTTGTTAAAGGCTTTCACATTTGAATTATTTATATGACACTATGATAATAGCATGTTAAATCTTGTTCAGAAAGTAGGTAACGTAGAATAATTAGTTTGCAATAAAGATATGACCCATTATGATACTGTGTAAATAAAATGCTATTACATGTCAAAAGCAACTCTTCTTTCTCTTCATGGTTATCCATCTTAATTAATATTATAATTAATTTGGTAAAAACTAATTTTTTTTGGCTCGGTTAAAAACAAAATCTTAATCATATGTAATTAATTATAAACTATATATTTTTAAGAAATAAAGTTTGGCACTTTTTTCCGTATACGAAGCATACATGAATATCAGCATCGTTTATGTTTCAGTTTTAGTTCACTATATAATAATGGTGTTCATGCTTTTATTTGTCTGGCCTGATATCAAATACTTTTGTCATGATTTTTTCATATAAAATCTTTATTAATAATAATTTATGGTGAGAGATATGAGATCATGAGTTAGGAAAAAATTTAATTCATTTTGGTTGGAAATAATTTATATTTTACGAATATTTAGGAATATCTTTGTTAGAAAATATTTTAGTATTTTATTATATTTTAATTTTGTGCATATATCGCATAGTAGTAGGTAGGTCAATGTAATTCATTATTTCTTATTTTGTAGCCGTCATTAAGTATATTCCTTTTGTTTTTTATCTCTCATTTGTGCATCAATAATTGGTATCAGAGCTCTGGTTCGAAATCTATGTGGAAATACGGGAAACACGAGTGAACAGTGAGGTATTTTTGAGAATCATTTTTCTGATTTGTGGGATTTGGGAAACACTTTTAGTGAATTTTGAGTGAATTGTACAAGGTTGAAGATGAACGGAAACGGCGATATAAATTCCGAACTTCCAGTGTTTGATGGCAAAAACTGAAATCGTTGGAAGATCCAGATGCGTGTGCTGTTTGGTTCTCAAGATGTGTTAGATCTTGTCACCGATGGCTATGCTCTGTTAGCAGCAGACGCAACAGAGGCACAGAAGATAACGCAGAAGGCGCTAAGGAAGAAAGATCAGAAGGCATTATTCTACATCCATCAATGTGTGGATGCGAACGTGTTTGAGAAGATTGCTGACTCTGAAACAGCAAAGGTTGTGTGGGACACACTGGTCAGATGTTACGGTGGTGACACATCAGTGAAGAACGTGAAGCTTCAGTCTCTCAAAAAGCAATATGAAAATATCAACATGAAGGACAACGAGAATGTTTCTGAGTACATCTCTAGAGTGATTCTGATCACTAATGAGATGAAAGCTTGTGGAGAAACTCTTTCTGAACAAGTAATCATTGAGAAGATATTGAGATCTTTAACTTCTCAATTTGATTATATTGTGGTAGCAATTGAATATTCCAAAGATATGAGCACCATGAGAGTTGAAGAGTTGCAAAGTAGTCTAGAGGCGCATGAGTTGCGTATGACTGAGAGAACTTCTGAGAGGGAAGTAGAGCAGCAGGCTCTGAAAGTAAATTCTGGTAAGAAGTATCAGAAGCAGACTTGGTCAGAAGCCAGGAAGAAAACTAATGGTGGTCAAAGGTCAGAAGCTTCAAACTCTGATAGAAAGAAGAATGTCCAGAAGGAAAAAGAAAAGTATGACAAGAAGAATGTTCAATGTTACTGTTGCAAGAACTTTGGTCAGTATGTCAAATTTTGTTGGTCGAACAAACAAAGGAAGTCAGAAAAAGAAAATATAGTCATAGGAGAGTCTAATGATGAACCTGTGCTATTTATGGCTTATGAATCTGATAAGGAACCAGTGAAATTGTAATTTTTTTATTCTGAAGGGGAAGAATATGACTTTGAATATTCTGACTCTGAAGGAGTGTTTGAATATGAGTTAGAATTAGAAGATGACGTTGAAGATTCTGAAAATGAGTCAGAAGATGATGACTCTGGAAACTCTGAAGGTGAGTCAGATGGTAAATCTAATTCTGGTCTAGATTTTGATGTTGATCCAAAATCTGATGGTGATCATGCTTCTAGAATGGAAAAATCTGAAGACGTAGGTTCTAGAGGACAAACTTCTAAAGATGATCATATTTCTGGTGGAAATCATGACTCTAAGGATGGACCTTCTGAAGGAGGAGCTTTTGAAAGAAATTCAACCTTTAACGGTGATCATGATTCTGAAAATGGAACTTCTGAAGGCAGAGGTGATCCAACTTTTGAAAATGGTATTTCTGAAGGTGATCCATTTTCTGAAGCAAGAGCTTCTGAAGGGGAAAGCTCTGGTGTCTGAGGTTCTGAAGTTCAAATTCAGAGGCAACAAAGAGTCAGAAGCATCCCAAGAAGATTTGCAGAGTTTGACATGTTATAAGACACTGAAGTAGACTCCGAAGGAGAAGTTATTCAGTGTACAATGTTAGTAGACTTTGAACCCGTGAGTACAGAAGAGGCTCTTAAGCAGCAAGTCTGGTAGCATGCCATGAAAGAAATATTTGATGCTATAGAGAGAAAAAAGACTTTGGAAGCTGGAAGAACTTCCAAAAGGGAAGAAAGTCATCAGCGTCAGATGGGTTTTCAAGCAGAAGATAAAGCCATATGGATCAATTGGCAAACACAAAGCAAGATTAGTAGCAAGAGACTTTCTACAGAAGCCTGGGCTGGATTACTTTGAAGTGTTTGCACTTATAGCGAGACATGAAACAATCATACTAGTGATTGCAATAGCTGTTAACAGGAATTGGCCTCTGGTGTATTTAGATGTAAAATCTGCATTTTTAAATGGTCTATTACAAGAAGAGTTATACGTATCACAACCTCCTGGATTTGAGAAAAAGAATCAGGAAGGGATGGTGTTCAAATTACACAAAGCCTTGTATGGATTGAAGCAAGCGCCCAAAGCCTGGAATCTGAAGATTGATTCATTTTTCAAGGGACAAGGGTTTCAGAAGTTTGAGATGGAATATGGTGTTTATGTTCAGCATACTTCAAAAGGTAATATGATTCTGGTATGTTTGTATGTTGATGACATATTGCTCACATGAAGTTATGAATAAGAGATAGTTGAGTTCAAGAAGGTTCTGATGAATGCATTTGAGATGACAGATCTTGGGAAAATGAGTTTCTTTCTAGGGATAGAGTTTACGTACTCTGAGAAAGGAATCATTTTGCATCATATGAAGAATGAGTTTGAGCTTCTGAAGAGATTTAAGCTAGAAAATTTCAAAGTTGCTATCACACATACTGATACGAATTAGAAGTTGGACTCTGATTCTGATGGAGAGGATGTGGATGCTACAACCTTCAAACAGATCGTTGGTTCTCTGAGGTATTTGTGTAATACCAGACCTGATATTTGCTATGCAGTTGGAATGGTTAGCAGATTTATGAGTAAACCAAAGTGGTCTCATTACCAAGCTGCTGTCAGGATTCTGAGGTATGTGAAGGAAACTCTGAAGTACGGAGTATTATTTCCTTTTGGAAGAAAGATCGAATCAGAACTTCTGAGTTATTCAGACTCTGATTGATATGAAGATAGAGCTGACAGAAGAAGTACTTCTGGGTACTTATTCAAATTTCTAGGAGGCCCTATTTCTTAGTGTTCCAAGAAGTAACATGTTGTTACGCTGTCAACTTGTGAAGCAGGATATATTACAGGTGCTATGACTGCATGCCAAGTTGTGTGGACTCTGAACTTACTGCAAGATCTGAAGATTGAGGTAAATAAACCTCTAAAGTCGACGATTGATAACAAGTCTGCAATCAATCTTGCCAAGAACCCAATGATGCATGGGAGAAGCAAGCATATCGAGACCAAGTATCATTTTTTGAGGAATCAGGTTCAGAATAGAATATTAGAAGTTGTGCACTATAACACCCAGAAACAGCTGACAGATGTTCTAACAAAGGCTATCAAGACTGGTCAATTTCTTCGTTTGAGGGATGAAATTAGTGTTGTCAATTTTGTGTAAATATAAATTAAGGGATGTTGTTGGAAATAATTTATATTTTAGAAATATCTAAAATATATTTTTATATCTTTGTTAGAGGATATTTTAGTATTTTATTATACCCCAATTCTGTGTATATATAGCCTAGTAGTAGGTAGGTCAATATAATTCCTTATTCCTTATTTTGTAGCCGCCATTAAATATATTCCTTTTGTTTTTCATCTCTCCTTTGTGCACCAACAATTTTATTAGTAATAATATTTTAGATACATATTAGAACATTCTTAAAAATATAAAAACTAGTAAAAGATGAAGCTGTTTGTGCAGAGTTGTAAATAAGTGTTTGCTTTTAAGGATAATAGCACCACAATCTGTATCATTAGACAGGTGGCTATTCACACTATCAACTACACTTTTAACATTCAATTCAAAATCCACATTGTTCAAGCTTAGAACATGGATCCATTTAATAGATGTCAGAAGTCCTAACGCTTCCCCAACAGCTACTTATATGATAGGTGAAAAGCATTATATTCTAGCTGTAATGAACAAATCTTCTTCATTTCTAATTCAAGCATCTATACCAACCTTATTATTGTAAAAAAGATGCATCAATATTGCATTTGAGTAGATATGTCGAAGGTTTTGTCCATTTGACATCCGATGCATTATGAGTAGAAGAGTCGTTGCTATATCTTGATTGTTGCGCATTCTGCCAACCAAGCAATAAATGTAAGGCTTGATTACAAACAATATTCTTGGAATCATCAATATGGTTCTAAATATGATTATTCCTGAATTTTCATAAAATCTATAGAATGATAGAGAATACCGCTTTTTGTTCTTGATTAACGACATACAAAAAGAAGAAAAAGTGTTAACAAAAGAGATGTGATTATTATGTACTTGTTACAACTTCGACAAGAGATCTACTCTTTTCCAACACTTTACAATTTTCGATCATCGAAAAAATAAGTGATTATTGTCCTTATCCACTTCCCTACAAATACTACAA